AATGCACGGCCAGATTTGTAGCTTATTGATTTAAAGGATGTTCTAATGGTTAATGCTGCTAGGCCCCAGCTCTTTATCTGAATGTTTTCTCACGAGGAAGATGGATTACACTGGCAATTCAATTTCTAACAAAATCTCAATATACTTGAAGGAATTCCAAGATTTCTACTGGGAATACTTTGCTGCAGTTTTTCCATTGTGGTTTACAGCAGCATTTCGTCCAAGTTGTCTTGAGTATGTTTGTTCTATTACACTAGCTTCTAGAGAGCAGTAAGATGGGGGGCTGTCTTCCTAACTTAAAAGGGCAGGTTTCCGACAAAAGCCATCCTGTCGATTCTGAAAAATCAGCTGCATTTCTACAGGAAGATACAAAGGAAACCCAGAGCTGTATGGTATGTTGTACCACATTCTAGTTACCAGGGCAAGTAAAATATGAGTGTATAACTAGAATAGGGGAACTATTCTATCACATGGCTCAGAAGCCTATTTTCTAAACCTCGATCTGCACATTATATCCAGGATTTATGCTAAAGCCAACCACCTGAAATAAAGTTATTATAAGAGGAATTTAAGTGGTTCGATATTTTAAAATAAAAAAATAATACATTTAATTATTAATCCTACCTGTATAGGGTACCTACTATGTAAAACTACTTACAAGGGGACTGAACCTCATCAGGGAGGGCAGAAAGGCTCTTGGAGGAGAGGAAGGTAGGAACAAGGAGCTAACCAGGTGGAAAGTCTGTGCAGGAGGGAACCTGGAGAGTTCAAAGGCCTAAACTGAGGCTAACATAGCAAGATGAGCAGTTGTGAGGTGTCCTGACAGCAAGCAGGGTCAATTCAAGCCTGATAAGAATAGACAGAAATTCTGGCTTTATCTGAAAAAGCAATAAGAAGCTATGGAAGGATTTTAAGCAGAGTGAGACAGAAACGAACTGTTTTGAAAAGATGGTTCTGGCTGCCATTCAGAGAGTGGACTGGAGCAAGTTCAAAGTGGTAATGGATTCGATGTGACTGGAGAGAAATTTTCTAACAGTGCCTACCTAACAGGTCATTGTCAAAAGTGACGAATGAAACAAAGTGCTAGGACCTGAGCTCGGCACAGGGTAAGTGCCAGCCATTATTACGCACCGAGTACTGGCTCATTACTGGGAGTATAAGTAAATTACATGCTAGTCAGGGAGACGATCATATTAATAAACAAAACAGGTTTAAAAAATATCTCCAATATGAGTATTCAGTTAGTTTTGATTGATGGCACCTGATTTCTTAGACTTTTTGCTTTTATTCAACATAAAGTAACATTATTTCATAAAACGCGTTTAGAAGTTTACGATAGGACTTATATCTGTATACTTAGATCCCAATCAAAAGCAATGATTTAGCTAAGCTAATTCTAATTTTAAATGTATTTTTCCCACACGGAAGTATATTGAAACCGATAGCCATAAATGGAGCTATTAATTTTTAATAAAATGCCCAAATAGGACATATAATATACATTAGCATATATGCATTTATCCTTTGCCACCCAAAATATAAAAGTTTATTAGAAGGTTAGTGACATTACATCATAAGCATATTTAGCTTAAGTAGATTTAAATAACTTAAGCTCGGCAGAAAAGAACAAAAAGGAAAACAATGTTAAATACATTGGGCAATTCTGGAGTACTGTAGTAGGTCGAGCAGTGGTTTAAGGCAAGGAAAAAAATAAAGCGGGGCATGGGGACAGAGAGTGATCGGGGATGGGAAAGTGAGAGAAGACCCTTGTGCAGAGATGCCATTTGAATGGAGTGGCGGAGCGGCCAGCTGTGAGGTTATCTGAGTGAAGGGCTTTCGCAGCAGAGAGGAGAGTGCATAAACCCTGTATTCAAGTGTGAGCATATGCCAGATGTTAGGGAGAGAGAAAAGGGAACAAGGTTTATGATCATTTCTATCACAGAAACAAATAGGGAACTCTGATAAAAGTGAATGGGATAGAGGTATTTTATAACAAGGTCCACCAACTAGTGACAATGATGAGATAATCAGAGGTCATTTTTTTTTTTTTTTTCTCATCTGTTCCACTCCACTCCAAATTTTGGATTTTTGGCTTCATCATATGCATGATTTAATACAATATCCATTATTGCTTGACTGACTCAGAATGTGGCGCTTGCCTTGGTTTCCCATCGATGAGGAGGAATGTGATTTAGAGTTGGTTTTCATTTACTTTACAAACATTTACTAAGAACCTTTAAAAATAAAAGTGAATGGAGTGGAGGGGATCGTGGCTGCTACTTGAGAGGAGAGTCAGCGAAGGCTCTTGGAAGTCCCACATGAGAGATGAGAGAGTCAACGACGTGTGAGAACAAAAAGAGGATTTGAGGAGGAAGAAACAGCAAGTGCCCTGAGCAGAAAGGAGTTCAGCACATCTGAGGCCCAGAAAGAGGTCCAGTGCGGCTGGACCAGAGTGTGTGAGGGTCCCAGGAGGAACACGAGCCAGGCAGAGGCAGACTCCGGAGGGCCACGGTGACAGTGTGGAGCTCTGGATGGAAACTCAATCCTGTGACTCAGCTGTCTACCCAAGGTAATCAAGGCCACAGCGAGGAGATTATTCAAAAGAAAGTGTCAGGGTCTAAGAAGGGAGGGTCTATGATATTCTTCAGGTGAGCTGCCAGAGGTTCGAAGTGGGAAAGCCAAGGGGAGAAGGTGTCTGAAGAAGGAGAAAGGGGCCAACAGCGGCTAAAACCGGTAAGAGGCCAAGTAAGAGGATTGAAAAATGCGCAGTTTAGCCACACCGCAGTCGCTGGGGACCTTGGCAAGAGTTGAATTTCCCAGAAAAATCAAAACAAAGGCGCAAAAGCATAAGCCAAGAGAATAATTTTTGATTATTATACTAGCATTTTATAAGAGGATAATGTTTAACTGTTAGAACTTTACAGACACTCTGATTTTGTGAAGGTCAGTATATCTGGGAAGGTATTTTCATATCCATATCCTCTGGACTAGTAACCTCGACATTTTGTTAAGAGGCATAATAATATAAAAATGTGATGCAAGCACAATGTATCTTTAAATCAAACGCTAAAGATTTTCAAGAATAAATCACTGAAATAATACTTTTGACTTATGAAATTAGGTTGGCCAAAATTTCATGGAAATAGATCTAGTGACTGGCCTGTCCATACCTGGTTTCAATCTGTGCATCAAACCTGCGGTTTTAATTTACTATCCAACAGGAAATCCCTTTTTGTGCAAGTCATTCATCCACACCAACATTCTACCAAAGATACATACTTCTTACTCTTTCTAACTCCAGACATTTACCCCTGATATCCTTTCCCAGGAAGTTCCTTCTGGTCTTCATTGTCAGCCAGGTGCATGGCACATTGTGTTTAATGAGCTAGAGGAATTGGATTTAAGGGTCATAAAATATTTTCCCTCTTCCACAAAACATCCTGCTATTCTAGTCCACAGTGATCATTACTCTCTCTACATTTCTGCAGAAATTTCAGTTAAATGCACAAAATATCTGAGTATTAAACGAAGCAGAAAAAAGTACTTGTGGAACCATTTTTAAAAGATAAGAATATAAAATATTGCCCATTTAATCCAGACTAGGTTATAGTTGTTAAATATAACATTTTAAAAACAGAATATCAACCTGTTTAACACACAGATTTGTTACACATGGAAAGCAAATGCTAAAGAAAGGCAATTATTTCTATGAGACCACATTTTTATACAGCAAACGTAGGTAGCCCAGAAGTAGCTCTCCCTGGTCAGGGTGCTAGAAATGGGTCCTCGACAGAGCAGGGCTGCATCTTGGCCAGCTTTCTCTAAACTGACAGCTAAATGGGTCATCCGA